AAAAAGAAGTGAATTAAGGCAGAACCTAATGCATGATGTGGTGGCGCACACCTAGCATGCCAGCTACTGGGGCATGACATGCGGTACTGGGGATTGAACCTGGGCCTTTGAGCTTGCCAGGCAGGTGCTTAGACCACTGAGCGACCTCCCCAGCCCCCCCCCCTTTTCTGAGGCAGTTTCACTCTGTAGTCCAGACTGGGCTTGAACTTACTTTGTAGCCCAGGCTGGCCTCAAACTCAAGTGATTCTCCTATGACCTCCTCCTGAGTGCTGTAATTACAGGTATGTGCCACCACACCCAGCTGAGATCCTGTTTTAAAAGTTTCTTTAAAGGGATAAGAATGTAACTCTGTGGTAGATTGTGGAAGTACCACAAAATAAACAAGAAAAACATCACAGAAGAATCAGAAAAACAAACAAATGAGGTGACATGTATGAAAAGGAGAGGTTGTGGTGCTCCTCCCTAAGAAAAGCAGTAATTATTTATGCTTCACAGAAGGCTATAGAGCTTGGTGAGATGAAGTGTTTGGGGCAGTTTGACTAGCAAGGTGGAGCTCTGGGTGGGAAAGTATAAGGGTCAGGAAGTAGAACCGGGGTCCCTTGGAAGAGCCTCCTTAAAGATCCTGGTCTTCATTAAGAATTTCATGGAGGGCCAGCGAGATAGCTCAGCAGACTAAGAGCCTGCTTTGGCAAGTGCAGGGACCACAGTTCAATCCCCGATCCTACAGGTGCGCTAGACCGGCCCCTGGAAAGCACTGAGCCAGGGAATGAGTCTGGGCATGGGGCATGGGGCATGGGGCATGGGGCATGGTGGCACACACCTGTAATCCCAGCACTGGGGAGGTTGAAAACAGGAGGATCACTGAGTTCAAGCTGCTTAGTGAGACCCTGTACCAAATACATAAATAGAAAAAAATAGAACTTCATGGGCTGGGTAGATAGCTCAGTGGCATAAGTGTCTGCCTGGCAAGTACAAGGTCCTGAGTTTGATAACCAGTACTGCCAAAACAAAACAAAACATCCCCCCAAAAAAAACCCCAACCCTTCATACACGACTGTCTACCCCATCTGTCTCCTCATCCCCACTGCCCCTCACCTAAATCAAGAGTCTCTCTACCATTTTCCTTTCCAGATCATCCTCCATACCACTGTCCCTGCCCTTCCTCTCTCCTCCCCACCCCTTCCTGGGGATGGACCCAGGTGTTCTGCATGCTACGCAAGCATTTTACCAATGAGCTAAATTCCCAGCCCTATTTTAGAGTATGTTCTAAATCAGTCGAGTCAGCCCAAGTCTTTCTGTCTTGGCTTTGAGTCTATTACAGGATAAAGTCCAATCTCTTCCTAGTCTGCTTCTAGTTTATTTTTCCAAGATTGCCTCAGGCCAGTGCTGTCCAAGAGGCATAATATTCACAAATCCCCAATATCACCTGAAATTGAAGTAGATGTTCCCTCATAAATCTGAACCTTCATAAACTATGTACTTGTATATTTATTAAATATACACTTGCCTCATTCCTCAGTGGTCACATGATTTTTCCATTGCCAGGAATATGCCACCCCCTTCTCTGTGGTAAATTTCTTTTCACACTTCAAGTTCCAGCTCAGATATCAGTCTCTAGGCTTTTCTAACACTCCTACTCCCCAGATAAGATTGATTGCTTCCTTGTCCGTACTCCTAAGGCATTTTACACGGATCTCTGTCCCATTACAATACTTATTTCATTGTATTATGGTTTTTTTTTTTTTTT